AAGTAGCCAAGGTTTGTTTTGAAAAAGCGACTGTTGGAGAATTCGATTGTACATGGAAGCAAAGGAAACAATATGGTAATAATCGATTTTGATATCTTCTTAAATTTATGATCATTGGCATGATCAAAGTAAGACATGGTGGAGCCATTTATACGAGAAGGAAAAATCTAGGGTTTAACAGAAGAATTCTGTAAAATTTACATAAGTTTTCTGTAAAACCAGAAAATCTTCTGTAAAAGCCCAAATTCGTCGCAAAATAGACAAAATATTTTGTAAGGCTCAGAGCCTCGAAAAACGTGCAAGCCACGAAATCAACTTCTGTAAGACTCCGAGCTTCGAAAAACGTGCAAGCCACGAAATCAACTTCTATAAGACTCAGAGCCTCGAAAAACGTGCCTGGCACGGAATCACCTTTTGTAAGGCTCAGAGCCTCGACAAAACATATATTACTTCTCTAAAAATCATAGCTAACTCTTGCGTATATTTCGTATTCTCGTTCACTCGAATTCCATCTCTGTAATCACAGAAGCACGATTATCGTTAATAAGAGAAATATCTCCGTTCGCTCCCAAAAACTCGTACTTATTTATTATTGCAACTTCGGTACGAACAATAGGGTGGATAGATTTACATACAACAATTTTTATTTTTGGGTATTATAGGTAAACCCGAACCCGTACCTGAATTTTAAAATACCCGAAAGGTTTTTTTTTGCAAAAATTGGTTTAATGAAGGGTTTTTTTTGCAATTTGGCTACTTCGAGGATTTTTTTGCATAAAACCCACTGACGGAGTTAACGGCTGCCACGTCATCGATACACGCGAGGGCTATATTGCGGGTGACTTTTGAGATGGCGGTATTGACTTGCATTTATTTGAGATGGAGGGTTTTCTTACAAAAATTGGCTACTTCGAGGGGTTTTTTGCACAAAACCCTTCTAATAACAACTCTAACAATTTTCATTTACTTAAATAAATCTTCATTCTTTTATTAATTTTTTTAAATACCATAGTTTTGACATTATCTTTTCTATATTACAGTGAGGGGTAGGATTTGCATTATTTTGTTTAACGTGTTTATCGGTCAAAACACGAAAACTATGAACAGCCAAGAGATTATGACACAGGCTGCGTAGTTTCTTCCTTGAATCAAGGTTTCATACCATGTGATAAGTTGTCATTTTAGAGCTCTCAAGATTTATATTAATTTTTGTCTTAATCCATTGGAGAAATTTTTATATAATGACTAATCAACTTAATTACTGCCTATATCTCATCTCCCGTGATGCTTTTTTCATTTTATAAAAAAAGATCTCCAATTTCATAAGTTTTTTTTCTAGTGATAACTCACTCAATTGCATTATATCTAATTATGTAGCTTAATAATTGGTAAGTAGCAGACAACAGACAAATGAAATAATGTTTTGAACTTTTCATGGATCATCAATCAGACGAACAAAAGAATGTTATTAAGAAAATTTAGGCCATATATATCTTAAACATTTTTAACATCTTTTTATCTGCTCTCTTTGGCTCTATTTTTATCAACGGATCCTACTTTAGTATGGTCCTTAATCCTTATTCATTATTTTGAAAATTTGCAGTACTTGTCAACTTTTTTTTTTTTGACATTGTAGATCATCAAAAATAATGTATACCACACCAAAAGTCACTTTCCATCACTAGTCAACTAAAAATCATATCCCTCGTTGTAAACTTAGATCTTGGGGAGGATGTAATCTGGTAAGATAGATCAAATCACATGAGGAGTTCTTCTTAGCCCCTCTCTTCTTCAAGTAGTTGCTAAGAAGTGGTAACATGGCTTTGAGTTGGCAAAGATAAGATCAAGATAAATTTAAACTTGACAGTGAGATTGGTTTAGTTTTGCCTTAAGCTCAAAAAATTTGATTAGTTTTTTTTAGTGTGACTAACAATATTTTTTCTTCATAATTATGTTTTCAGTCAATTAAACTCTTTGATGCATTATCTAAAAAAAAAGCCATATATATAATTATATATTGAGGGTTGTATTTATATATTACCAAAAATACATGGTTGAATAATACTTTCAAAGAGACATATATAATCCCAATTAACCCAAACATGTAATATTCTATCGTTGACCAAAACAAAAGTAAAACTTAATCTTGTTTTTTGACGTCGTAATTATTTGCAATATAACAATTGGACGTTTGAATAAGCTTATGCAAATATGTATTTAAAAAAAAAAAAATCAAATGTCCACAATTAACCCTATCTACAAGAAGAGTATAATAAAATAAAATAAAATAAAATAGAAATCACTATGTGAGCCTCAACCTAGCCTCACATCAAATTGTCAAAATCTATGATTGGACATTACAGAGTGTAACAAAGTCATTATCATAATTGTATTCATCAAAATTATAAAATAAACTAAATTGCATGTACCATACGTAACCCTTAATTATAAATTTCCTCTCTATAAAAAGAGACAAAAACACACACAAGGAACAAAACATTAACTTTCTAAGCCATGAAGTACCAAGGCAGCTTCTCCATTGTTGCTCTTTTTCTCATTCTCTTTTCTTCATCTGTCTTTGCTCAGCTACAGACAAATTTTTACCGGAAGTCATGTCCTAACGTCGAAACTATTGTCCGCAACCCCGTCCGCCAAAAGTTCCAACAGACTTTTGTTACGGCTCCAGCCATCCTCCGCCTTTTCTTCCATGATTGCTTCGTCCGTGTAAGATTTTTATCTAATCGATATATTGAATTTTTTCCCCATAAAATTTGTGTTTAAGTTTACATTTTGTAAACGATATTGGATAGAAAAAGCAGACTATGTGTTTTTTCATGAAATACAATTATTAAACAAGTAAATGAAAAATATAAATATGAATGTTTGTTTAAAACAATGAAAAAGTGTTATTGGTACTTTCATTTGCAAAAAAGTTTTTTAGATAGATTTTTATTATTTTGGTTTATTGATTCTTCTTATTCTACATAATTTCAATGGTTTGATGATTTTTAAATTCCACTCAAAATCTCTTTGTTTTTCAAAACGTTTAGTTATATTGATTTTGTAATTCTACGAATTTTGAATGTTGTTGAAACAAAGATATTCAATTTATAAAAACTAAACGTTCAAAATACTATGAAGTTGTCATCATGTTTTAAAAATTTATAAAACATAATGAAATCTCTCAACTAAACAAAAAGGATCTCTGCCAAAATGCAAATTAAAGTACCAATAATTAATTCTTAGGAAGACCCATTCTCTTGTATATATTGTTTTGACTATTTAACGTTATATACAGGGTTGTGATGCTTCGATATTGCTGGCGTCTCCATCGGAGAAAGATCACCCTGATGACAAGTCACTAGCCGGAGACGGGTTTGACACGGTGGCAAAGGCAAAGCAGGCCGTTGATAGGGATCCCAATTGCCGTAACAAAGTCTCATGCGCTGACATTTTGGCTCTAGCCACTCGTGACGTCGTCGTTTTGGTACATTTCAACTCTTATATTGATCGTCTTTTTCTAGTTTCCTCGACAACTTTTATCCATCTATTCAGAATTCTATTACTCATCTAGGCTAAAGGGAAATGTCAAAAACACAACAAAAAAAAACCTAGGCTAAAAGGAAAAACAATTCTTGTATTCCTTCTTTTGTGACACTAAGTAACATTAATACATTACTGTTTCGTTTATATGTAAAAAAAAACAAAATCATGATTATAAAAAAATCACTAACGATTTGGTTATTATTAATATTATTATTATTATTATTATTATTATTATTATTATTATTATTATTTGGTTATTATTCTTTTTGTGTGATCATCCATAAAGTTCGGATTCCAATAACGAGAAGGCAACTTATGTGCAGATTTCCTAGCTAAGAGAGTGCTCTCATGTAATGAGTTATGGTCTTTGTATAATGCTTATCCATCTTTTCTAAACATTCTTGTAAACCATGACATTGACTATGAAAGCTAATAAAGTTTTTAGAAGGAAAAATAAAAAAAATCTTTTTGTGTGATTATTATTTTTTTTTTTGTGTGTTATTGTTACTAAAAGACAGTGAAACTAAAGATAATAATATATTGTAGACTGGCGGACCGAACTATCCGGTAGAGCTAGGGAGGAGAGACGGCAGACTATCGACGATAGCTAGCGTTCAACACAGTCTACCCCAGCCTAGTTTCAAATTGGACCAACTTAACACTATGTTCGCTCGTCACGGTCTATCCCAAACCGATATGATCGCACTCTCAGGTATTTAAACCGATGCAAACTGGATTAGACCGATTTTCATATATCTTAGAACCAAGTCTAACAGTTGATTTTTATGATATATAGGAGCACATACTATCGGATTCGCACATTGTGGAAGGTTTTCAAAGAGAATTTACAATTTTAGTCCTAAACGCCCGATTGATCCGACTTTAAATACTCAATACGCGTTACAGTTGAGACAAATGTGTCCCATTCGGGTTGACCCGAGGATCGCGATTAATATGGATCCAACTTCTCCAAATACCTTTGACAATGCTTATTTCAAAAACCTCCAAAAAGGGATGGGTTTGTTCACGTCAGATCAAGTTTTGTTCTCTGATCAACGGTCTAGATCAACTGTCAATTCATTTGCTTCTAATGAAGCAACTTTTAGACAAGCTTTTATTTTGGCTATAACGAAGTTGGGTCGGGTTGGAGTTAAAACCGGTAACGCCGGTGAGATAAGACGGGATTGTTCACGTGTTAATTAGTGATTTGTTGTTTCTTTTTTAAGTTTTGTTAATTTTTTGAGTTTCATGGTTCTTTGATGAAAAAAAAAATAAAGAATTGTTTTACCACCCTTATCTATACTATTAATTGGGAAGCATTGCAAAATAAATAACCTCACTAAGGGTAAAGTATTACATTGAATGCCATTGGAAATTTTTCAATCTATGACTAACTAAAAAATTTCGTCAAGGGGTATAATGGACAATTTGACTATCACTAACACAATGATCTTGGATCTTGTAGTCGGATCTCCATTCGGTAAAATACGCGGGTCTCGGATCTACAAACGGTAAAACACGCGGATCCTGCATAATAATCATAGTGGGCTTTCGAGTAAATAGGCCCAATACGATGCCTGATATTTATGATCGAGATCTACAAAAATTAAAGTTAAAATAAATTAGAATCAATACTTTCACATATATTTCCATAACAAGAAAATCTAAAAATTCGAATTAGAAAATATCACTTCTTCTATATTTCTATAACTACCCAATCCCATATATTACGTTGATTAAAAGAAAACTTATTCCTAGATTTTCGATTTCATTTATGAGTTTTTACCACAATTAATAAAATCCGTTTATATCCATATTTAGTTATGAGTTTTACCAAAAAAAAAGAAGGAAATCTATATATTCGATTTAAACAAAAATCATTTCACCGATCTTTCTATAGCAACCAAATCCCATATATGCAATATATTAGAAGATAACTAATTTCTTTATATTGGAAGGTTCAAAATTTCACCGATCTTTCTATAACAACCAAGTCCCATATATGCAAATCTAAGAAGAAACAAAAAATGACATTTACGTATTTAAAGATATTACCAAAACAAACGTATCCCATAAATTTCGTATACAAAATAAGGATAGATAGTAAAGGTAACAATAATTCGTTCAAAATATTCAAATTTGAAGGTTGTTTTCAATCTGATTCGAATTCAGTTAATATATTTTCCAAATATAACAATAACTATATATTCATTACATCTCAAATCAAGTATATACCTTAAAACTTTATTTAAAAAATGGATTTGCAAATATATTCTTTTGATCTAATAGGTCTAACCCTAGCCGACCTCTTTTTCATATAAATATAGAACTAGGGGAGGTCCCCGCGCCCAGCGCGGGGTTGTATGTTGATTAAGACCAGAATTAATAATTAATATTTAGGGTTATCAAGTTAGGGATATTTATTGAATTAATTTTGTCAAGAGTCTAATTTTTATAACGACATTAATATAGAATTATGGTAAAACGCTATAACTTTTGATATATATTATTAGTAATCAACAATTAATAGTTTTTTTGAATCACAAACAATTATTAGTGTTTATATCTTGATATATATAATAGAATTAAATATAAAAAATCTATATATTTAAACCAACAATATATTAGCAACGCCCCGACCGCCACTGTCCATGGGTTCCCACGTCCAGTCTCGGTCTTTAGGCCCATCTTCTTTGTTTTGTCGTACTCTTGATTTTATGACATATTCATGCTTACTCGTTTCTTTCATATTAGCAACGCCCCGACCGCCACTGTCCGTGGGCTCCCCACGTCCAGTTTCGGTCTTTAGGCCCATCTTCTTTGTTTTGTCGTACTCTTGATTTTATGACATATTCATGCTTACTCGTTTCTTTCATATTTGTAATGCCACGACCGCCACTGTCTGTGGGTTCCCACGTCCAGTTTCGTTATTTGAGCACATCTTCTTGGTTTTGTAGTACTCTTGGTTTTATGACATATTCACGCTTCCTCGTTTCTTTCATATTTGTAACGCTCCGACCGCCACTGTCCGTGGGTTCCCCACGTCCAGTTTCGGACTTTAATTTGGGCCCATCTTCCTGGTTTTTGTTGTATTCTGGATTTTATGACATATTCATGCTTTTAGATTGTATGTCACTGGAGTTTTTCGTAGTTGGAAACAAATAATTGAAAAATATAATCTCTTACCATATCTCTTACCTATCAAGTAAGTCATCTTGCTCTTTGAAGTAGTTATGTACGTAAAATTTCAATTGTATAGAAACAGGCATCTCCTTTGTATATATCGTGTCATATTTATCGTCCCTATTGTAGTATCTTTGTCTCTACCTTCGCCATTGGTCGCTGCGTAACCCTTCAGTTGATCTCTTGTTTATAAAACCCATATAAAAAGTTGTAAGAGAAATATCATTTTCTTAACTGTATCGTATATGTATTTGTAGTATATTGATCTGAGATTGCAAAGATGTATGCCTATCAAGAAGCTCTTAGCAAAGTAAACACTGAAGATAGGTACTAAAAATGAGAGGGTTACAGAGAGCAAGTATCTATCCCTTAGAAACCACTATGTGCAACTGAGAATAATTCATATATGTACATACATACACATGTATACAACGTATTGAAGCTTTTAAATTTAAATATCGAATGCTACAAAACTGGAAAATTGCTTGTGGAGAAAGCAATATGAACATGGCCACATATATAACAAATAACCGATTATGCTTGTCGTAGATCATTCTCTTTCAAACCAAAAGTTTTACCTAAACAACATATCAAGTGACTCACAAGATATACATAAGAGCCATATCCTAAAAATATCCGGCAAAGCAAAAACGCTCCAGGTTCGAGAAGGAAGTCATTGGAAAATTTGAGTATATACCAAACTGGAGAGTAATTCGGCTACAAAGAGAGATGTGTTGGTTTTGAAGAAAAAGCTATGTGATGCTCTACCTTTTATTTATGAATTTTATGCTATGAATATATGTTTTTGTCAGGGTTCAACTTCAGTCTCCGGATTAGAGACTTATATTCATCCGACAAACAATTCGATGTCACAATCAACGCTACAAAATTGGTGGGTTCTCTCTATTAACAAACAAAAAAAAATCCTGGGGTATATATATATTTTTTTTTGTTTTGTTAGATCCATACGACGAAGAACATGACGAAGAACACCAAAAATTCTCATCAATCTGGTACGTTTGATCTTATTTTTATTAGTTTAACAATTACGATTATGTCCGAATCCGAAATAACCATGGCTCTAGACTCCTTCACACCATGGCCACATATCACCGGAGTGGAGACGATTTCAAATTCGGAGCTTCTCTTCGCATATAAAATCATACATATGGTCTCTTTGTTTCGGGTTTCCTCTACAATAATTAGTACATATTTCAAAACTGAGCTACAAAAGAGCACATTGTCAATTTTGTTAAACATCAAGATTGCTTCCTACCTTCCAAGAAACATGATAGACTAATTCACATCCAAGACCAAACATTAGCCACATAAAGCCTGAATCAAATTAAACGATCTTAGGATGCTCTTCATAATCCGTAAGTTAAAGAGACTTGCATTAATATTGCAAATTAGACTCTAGAGGTCCACAATGGTTAATCAGAGTGTATCAAAGACGACGAATAAAGCATGAATTAGAATATCAGCAGAGGAAGCACACAAATATTCAATAAACGTAATCAATCACTGAGAATAGCATGGACCCAACTTTTGAAAGATTCATAAAAAAGGAAGATTTTTCCTATGCAACAATATTCAAACAATGAGAAGATCAATGATTGATGACTAACCATACAACCGAAGCAAAGCCATAAACAGAAACGAAAGTACTAAAGAGCCACAACAGCAGTGATACGACATTTGTTTCCTCGCACTGGAAACAATGACGTGCTTCCATAAATCCAATCTAGTTTTTATTGAAAACAAACCTGCATTCATAATAAACACTACTATTAATTATTATTTTTTATGCAAGAATTAAATGGCAGTATAAAAAATTCAATGGTTAGTGCCAAAAAAAAAAAGCAAGGATTAGTTATGATATCAAATCAAAATTAAATATCAAGCAAGGTATTTACATAAAATTAAGGCAGTGGAGGATCTAAGAATTTTTTATATGACAATATCTACAACTAAACAAAGAAAATTTATATATTTTTAAAACAGAATCATTATTTGTTTTTTGGTAAGATTAAAACCGAATCATTATCATATTAGTAAATTTATCATTTATTTATTATTATCCACGTTAATTTAAAAGTTTAAGAGAATATCTGCTTTTTTCTCATAAAAGGATGGAATAATAACATAACTCTTTTAGATTTATAACTATATTTGACATTATCATATTAAATCTATTAAGATAAATATATTTCTTTTTGAAAAATATAAATAAAATGATAATATAATTATTATAGATTTACAATTATATTATTATCCATGTCAAAATTTTAAAACATTTTACTTTTTTCTCACATAGGAAGATAGAACAATAACGTAACAGTTTAAGATTTACAACATAAAAATAATATCATAATTGGAACGCCAAATCATAATCAACACAATTAACACAACTCTAATGGGAAATTAGAGTTATCTTGTGATTAAAATACTAAACAAACAAAACTAACCGAAACAAAACAAAAGTCTTCCTTTCAAAATCATTAACGTGACGGATTGCTGACTGATTAAGTTGAAGTTTTAGGCATTTAAAGATCTAGAAAGATGATTAAGGTTAAACATTTTTATTTATTTTAAACAACGTTTGAATGTTGACAAAAAAAGAAGAAGAGAAGAAGAAGAGAGTGTTGGGACCATCGGGAGAGACAACGTTGAGCAGCTGCGAAAGAAGCCAACGTTGTCTATTATGTTCCTCACAGTGTTTGATTTGACTTTTGATGACATTACACTCCTGTCCACTTGTTATCTCGAAAGTTCATGCAATAGAAAATTATTAAACAAAACAATTTACTTTTATGTATAAATCCTAGGGAAGAACCGATCAAGCTAAGATCAATGGTTGTGGTTTTAGTACCGTATACTTCTCAAATATACCCGTTGAATAACGGAAATCCGCAAGACGGGGAGGAGACGAAGTCAACCTAGCTGGCAAAGGAGCTAACCCAGCTCCTTTGGTCTTATTTATGGTCATATGTATTTAGCAAAATATGGTATACAAACCGAACCAATCAACAACAAAACCTGGTTTTAAATTGTTGTATATTTCTCAAAAGTCAAAACCCATAATAACCAATGGAACAGAAGAAGCTAATGCAGAGCATACTTACGCTTGGAGTAAAGAGTGATGCAAGCTTCCATTGGCACACCCGAAACCGCATCAGAGCATGGAAAGAAACCTAAAAACCAATAAATTAAACAATAATTAAATCTTAGTGCATGGAAAACGAATCCTATACATACCAAAGTCCGAATCTCAGTGCCTTAGAATGACTTCGATACCAAAAACTTTAAGTTACTACTTCCATATATGTAATATTTTAGTTTGGGGAGAGAGATTGGCAACGAAGAGTAATTCCTGAATTTAACAGCCAAGTTTGTTATTCCTAATCTAAAGAGAAGAATACTTAAATTGTATTAACGACAAAAATTAGCCTCCTCTGAAGATTCATCCCTGAAATAAGTCATCTTTCTGACTTTGTGGCAACTGTGTTATCAAAAGTTGAGTGTTTCTTCTGAAAAAAACATATTTGAAAATAATAAGAACATGTACCTCAACAAAATCGGGAGGTACCTCATCTTTTTACAACAAAAAGAAACATACCAAACCATCGATGATTACCTTCTCAAAAGTTGAAACCAAACTTTTTGATTATAAAAATTGATTTGAACATATAAACCATAAATACAAAAAAAAAAAATCAAATTTGAACATATAAACTATAAGATCACCTGTTTATTTATTGAATTAGGTCCAAATTTTCCATACACCAGTTCACATCGTCCCCTCCATACATCCATCCTACAATAAAAAGAAAAATTAAAATTAGGTAGAAGCAAAAAAAAGTTTGAAAAAAAAGAACAAAAAAAACAAGGGTTAGTTATGATCTGAAATTGAATACCATGAGCAAGGTATTTATATTGAATAGGAGGCGGTGCATAATTTAGGGTTTCTAAATTTTTCGACGATAAATACAAAAAAAAGAAAAGAAAATTTACATATTTTAATAAGCAAATCACTATCATAATAATAAATATTTGTAAAACTGCCATTTATTCATTGTTATCCATGTTTATTTAAAATAATATTTACTTTTTTCCGTAAAAATATGGAATAATAACAACTATTTTAGATTTACTACTATATCTGATACTATCTTATAAAATATATTAAAATTTAAGGGAAAATTAATTTCTGTTTCAAAAATAAGGCGGAACAATAATATAATTTTTGATTTACAATAGATAGACATGCATGGTATCCATATGCGTCATGTCACGCTGATCCATATTTTTTCCCAATACTCGATCTAATTGCTATTATGTGCAAAAATCACCGCCGTTCACGTTCATGTTCACGTTAGCACTCCATACCTTAATTCACATGTAAACCTCTCTGCCTATCTCTGACTTCAGCTCTCTCATCTTCGAGTCTCCCCAAGAAAGTTTTGACACCACACCAACATTTCATTCGTCAAAATTAAATCGAGTTTGCACAAGGTTACAACCGATTAATAGGTGGTCTTCTACCTTCTATTTACGATTTTATGCTATGAATATATGTTTTTGTCAGGGTTCAAGTCAATCTCCGGATTAGAGACTTATAATCATCCGACGAACAATACGATGGCGTGATAACCGTTTCTAAATTGGTGGGTTCTCTTTCATTGATCTACATATTATTTTTTTTGTTCGTTTTTTTTCCAAATATTTAGATTGAAACGACGACGAACACGACGATCATACCAAAAATTTCATCTATTCCGGTACGTTTGATCTTTATTTTAATTAGTTTAACAATTAATAGCCGTTTACGATTAATTTCGGATATCTAAATCTTATTAATTTGAGTAAGGTTAGAATAGTATTCTTTTATGTTTATATTAATGCTCCGATTAATAATTTTCGGATATTTGACATTATCATCTTAAATATATCAATATTATAATAAATATTTTCCTTTTCCGATTTTTTTTTTTGGTATAATTCCTTTTCCGATAAATTATGAAACAGATCTGTTTACACAAAAGGACAAAAAAAAAAAAAAAAAAAAAAAAAAAAAGAAAAAAACCATCAACCGTCTCCATTCACACGTTTCTTCATTATGATCACGAATTCACGTTCATGGAAGCTTCATCATACATTAACACTTACAAGTTTCTTCGTCGAGTTTTTATCCAAGGTTTCTTCGTCAACTCTGTATCCAAGGTAATAAATATTTGTTCTTTTCATTGGTTAGAATTATAGGGTGCAGGATAGTATTGACGTCTTAAAGACATAACATGGGCAAGATACTATGAGAAGCTTGACTATTCTGCTTCGACAGATCAACAGGTGAAATTCTATCACTAAATTATTAGATCTCTGTTATTGCTATGAATATATGCTTTATGTTAGGATTTCAAGTTTTGCCTTCGTTTAGAAGAATTATATTCACACGACGAAGAACACGATGAATTCAATTAAAGCTTCCTAACTGGTACTTCGTTGTTCCTTTTTTTTTTTTGGTTAATTATCATGTTTATTGTTTCCAAAATTATTTTTTCTTGGTTAATTCCGAAATTCAATTTAATTTTTCCAAAATTAATTAGATTTCATTAAGGGTAATTAAGTAATTACGTAAAATCAAGGACTCAACAAGAGCCGAGAGTCCGACACGTCAGCAAAAACACTTCTCAAATATTGTTATATATAGATGTCTAATAACATTTTCAATACTCATTAAACTTTCAAACGACCCCTAACCTTTTGCTACTCCTTTTTAAAAAATGGCTGCAAAAGACCAATTTTGCTACTTCGTTTCTCATTTCTAACAATGGATGAAATCTTGGTATCACCAATCTTGCTAACATCAAACCTTTCAAGACAAGCTATAGAATCCAAGTGAAATCGTTCATTTGTGTAAAGGTGATTAATGCATATCAAACAATGGCAAAAAATTTTGTACTTTGCATCTCTTATTTAGTACTTTCATATTAGCATATACTAGGGAAAAACAAAGTTTTCTATATGAAGCAACCACAATTAGACTGGTAAATATGCAAATCTAATAAACAGAGTGTCTAAATTATGATCTCACTAACCTCTAACATATAGATTTCTGAAAAGCTCCAATGACTGATAGCCTCCTCCATATCTTTATGTTACTCGCAATTTACGCTTGACCTGGATACATTCAAATTTGTTTGTAACATGTTTAAATTTTTGGTAATAGCTATTGTTTTCTAATAATCGTATTTGTTTTTTTTTTCTTTGTTTATCCTCTTCTTCCATTAACATAACTATATTTGTAGTATATTGAAATATATATATATATATATATATATATATAAGTTAAATTAAGTAGAACTCTTTTCAGATAACAGAATATACGGTTAAAAATTTATGGGTTAAAAAAAATAGTTCGGTAAACTGGAGTTTTAATGTTCATCTTGCTTCTGTAGCTAACGACAAAAACTACACGAAATCAAATTCGTGTTAGTTTATTTAATTCACTGAACAAAAATTTGGATATTCAATTGACAATAATTACCCATTGCAGATCTAGCTTCTTGACAATCCTTGGACAAAGATTTCTATTCAAACATAAAAATTCACAGATTGGGAATTGAACCAACATATTAAAAATCAGTAGAACTATATATCTTATTCAATAATATCCTTACCTCTTTAAAGAATTCACGATTTGCAACACAGTATAAACGGAGACGCAATAGCTGTCGCAATTGATTCTTCGATCGAGCCATGTTTTGTAGTTTTTTTTAATGTTATTAGTTTTGTTCGGTGGGTTTTCCTTTTTTTTTTTTAAAGATGAGACAACGATTGTTCCTTTTACAAAAAATTTTCTCTGGATTTTATTAATAAGACTACATTCATCAGCAAGAGTACATAATGGGTTTACAAAATTAAGCAGCCCATGAAAAGCCCAGTCGATGATACGCTAAGGAAGAAGAAGAGATATCTTCACTCAGACACGTGTTAGGCAGTAAGAAGCAACAAGGACAACAACGATTGTTCTTTAATAAAATAAAAATCTGTCCAAATAAATAAATTAAAATTCATTAATATTAAATGGGTGAAGGATGCATTATTAAACACATAACTTCTCCTATTGTTCAAATTATATGTTATGCACCAAACTATATATTTAAGAAAACACATAAAATTATCTAATTCTAACGCTAATTTATTTTTAAAATTCTCAACTTTCAATTCTAAAACTAATCAAATAGAAAATACAAACTTTTGCACCAAACTATTTTTAAAGCACAAAATATAATTCTACAATTATTATGCTAAGTTTATGGTATCTATACTATTTTATAATTCACTAACCCAACAAAATATATTAATACAAAGTTTATGCAAAAATGTTCATTAAAACACTTCTCCCGCAGGAACGTGCGGGTCAGGATCTAGTTCTTATTTAATTTGGAACACCATTTCTCAATATTTGTTAAATATTGCTTGTTACCGCAATTTACAACATACCGAACAATTTGATTAATGAAACAATCTTAAATATTTAGCAAAAAGAAAAAACAATGTTAAATCTTTTCAAAGTGAATGAATTTAATTTAGCAATGTTAAATATTTAGCAAAAAGAAAAAACAAGGAAGCAAACAAGACAAATCTCTTACTAATAATAGGAACTCATTGAGGCTTCAAAAGAGTTCCTTAAATCATGCCACATCAGCAACCCAAAAAACTGTGGCCACGTAGCTCTCTTTACAAGTTCTTTCTTTTGTTTTGTCTTTTGAAATTCACTTGCCAATTAGATAAGTTTGAACGACTCGGCTTCCTCATAAAGTCATAATCTCCCTTTTTCTTCGTAACAAAACCTCTCATCACCTTCCTCTCATCAAATAATTTCGCTCGGATTGAAGATGCGAATGGAGTTTCATTCATCACCGCAACGAGCCCAGCGACCAGAATTTTTGAAGTAACCTCCCTTCCCTGTCTTCTTATTATACAAATACTTTATCTACGTATACGCTTTGGATCCCTCGATTGAATCGAGAATGAATCCAATGGAGAGGTTTCAATGACCTCATTATTAGTAGTAGATTTGTTTCACGTTTTTAGATTCGATCGTCCGTATGAGCAGGGGATATCAAGAGTGTTCTTCAGTCCACCCTAGGCATAAGAGCATTTAAAACTTGGAGTTAGAAAGACAAATATGTTTTATGTAGAACTATCCGCGCATCTGTGTTGTAAAAACAAGGTTTCTTCTCTCTTCTCCAGAAATCATATTGAATTGAAAATTTCATCAATGCTAATTCAAGTGAAGAACAAAGTGATTGTTTTCTTAATTTGGTTTGCTTCTTCTATTTCGTTGCAGCACACCGAAGCTTTGAAGATGTGTGACGGTGGCAGGGTCATGCATGTGTAGAAGAGGAGGCCATACAAAGAGTCGTTGATGTTGCGTTACAATATGAACAAATAATCGGAAGTAGGTTATGCCATTTCACGATTTTTAACAGCCCATTTTACATCAATTGCCATAAGTTCTTCACCTATGAAAGCTTTCTCCCCGTTTCTTTACTCTTACAACATGAACAAATCGCTTTGTCTTAGTAACTACTGGATAGATGGTTCAGCGAGTAAAGAGATTAAATAAAAATAGCTTTCTGGCGTGTCATGCTCTAATCTATTACCCACTTTCCTATATGCGCAGTTGTCAACTTAACACATTGATCTTCCAAGGCTTACAAAAGTTGTTGTTGGTAAGCTACATTGACTGCATCTTATTTTGACCAATAGAGCAGAGAGTTTAGGCCTATTTCTTTAACATTTGATCATGAGGTATTACACTTTATTATCTACCATTGGTTGTTTCCCATGACACAAAGCGTTCTTTTCAGTCTTTTATTGTAAAGGTAATAGGGATTCTTTACTTTCTCCCTGCCTTGGGACTCTTAATGTTATTATGGACAGTCTATTGTGACTTTAGAATAGGTTAAATAATACGTTAGTGTTTCCCTACATTATGAAATCCATATATACGTTTGACCGGGGAAAAGGGGATGAGAGTTGATACAAGCATTCACTAAAAAGGTCAAATGTATAGTTTCTTCTCTAATCTTTCAATTATTTTATATGCTGGTACCGGTGATATGTGGGTTTAATGCTACGTTAATGGGTTCTCAGACTCGATTCATAATCTCTGTTTTCTTTCTCAAAATTAGCATGCTTTATTGAAAACGTGGATGAGCTAAAATCAAAGGGTGTTGATGTGATCATCTTCTTTGCCGATAAGTATGATTGTTTCAATGTCAGGTAAGTTTCAGTTACACTAGCCTTCTCACATTGTCACGTAAGTGTGATCATTTTGTTGAGTCTTTTGCAGAAGCATATGAAGAGAGTTGGCATTTGACCGCCCCGGTCGCCCGTTTCAGTTACACTACCCTTCTCACATTGTCACGTGAGAAATTATCAGTTCAGGTTCATAAGACATTCAACGTTGTGTAGTAAATCAAACTTAATGCTAAGATCTCTCAACTGTTTCACCACAGTCTCTTTCGTTTTACATGTTCTCAAGATAATATTTTCTATATTTAATTTGGTTATCCGTTACATGATGATATATAAGGTCTGAAACGCATGGATATAATAGTTTTTTCACTTGGGACGAATATTAATTCTTCACGTAAACTATAGAGATCCCATGTTATGAGATTAGTATAAACGTGAACACCTTTACTATAATCTACGTAGTTTATGATTTTCTGTATTTTAAGAGATAACATTTGTTCGTTTGGATGCCATGGAAGACCGGAGTTTTATTCTTTCATTTGTTTTCTAGAGTTCTTCTCGCTGATCATATTAACTAACAGTTCTCCGTTTTAACAATGAAGCTGTAGGAAACAGAGGAGTACAAGGAATATCAATTTCCCACAAATTTGTATACAATTGTGAGAGGTAAATTGTCCATCTATTATCATTCTCGAATCTTCAAAGTAGAATTGACTTCATCTGATGCTTAGTTAACGTCTACATCAAATTTATCATTATCTTTTCGTCAGATCTTTAATAGTAGTTTAATTTTCTCTTTCTTGATTATTTAGATATACACTTTTTCTTTTAGCATATTTTTTCGTTGCATGTTAGCATATTTATATATACTAGGAAGCCTTGCTACACGCATATGGGGTATGCTATTCAACTACCGAACTCAAAGACCCAAATTTGAGGGGTTTATACATGTCATAAGTTAATTTTTTTAAATGTGATTATTTCTATCTCTAAGTTTTAGTCTAGGAAGTGTCATGAGTCCTAATAAGTTCTTGGAACCAATGGTGAGTGCCTACTATTTCTTTGACGTTTGCCTTTGATAAAATCTACTATGTTGATTTCAACTTATGTCTTTATTTTTTTTAACTTGTCTTTAGTTTCTGTTTTATTTGTAGGTTTGATTTAAATTGTCGGACGAACAAAATCTACATGTAGATGTAATACGAGATCATGGCACTGATAATAGGAAACTTTTTGGAGAAGGATGTAATAGTACCAAAATGAGAAGTAATGAAATGGAAATCAAAGAGAAAAAATTATGCCCCCAAAAAAGGATGGTTAAGACGTGAACCGGTGCACATTTATTCGAGGATATGTGCAACATTACAACGAGGCACTTACAAACTCAAAGTTTAATGTTATTTCTCTGCTTGGATTTGAAAAGACTTTAGAGATTGATCAAAATTTATCAAAAGAATTGCGGAAAATAGCTCTTTAGTATTCATCAAAATTCATGTCTTTCTCATATAGAAAACTTAAATCGGTTGTACAAAATTAAAATATAAGTCCCACGCTATAGCCCCTAGTAATTTTGAAAAGGTGAAAGTACTTACGTTGAGAGAAAAATGGCCAATACTCTTGGCCCAAATGAGGTCTCAAAGTTTTTTTTATACTTCTCATAGTTTAGTGATTCTTTTTCAGAGGTAGAGTATATTTTCCAAAATGGGCTATCCATGTTTCCTACCATAATCAATTCATTCATAACCTCAATGGAAATATCCAACAATATTAATTTCTTGTCTCCACCACGGCACCACCCAACTAACGTTGTGGTGGTGTATTTTTCTTGGATTAGAGATCAGTGATCTCAGATCACAATAGAAGTATATACAACGATGACGAGAAATCAAGGATATTGGATATTCTTATTGCAGCTGTGAACGAATTGATCATGCTGGGAAAACATGGAAAGTCCATTTTGGGAAATAGACTCAAGCTCTATCAGAGAATCATTTAAAATATGAAAAGTAATTAAAGAAGTTTTTGATAATGCATCTTATAACTCTTTGGGAAAATATGTTTATTTGTGTCTTAGACTTTAAAACTCAATTCTAAAAATAACTAACTCATTAAGAAGACTTATATATGCACCAAAATAACTAATCAATAGACATAAATAACGCGCCAAAATAAATTATTAACAAAATAAATATTTTTATATATTGTTTGAATTGACTAAATAAGAAATTATATTTTCACTTTAAAAACTAGTATTGACTTCGCATTTATAACTTTTCAAAGTATTACCTAAAATCATAGGATTTATTTTTTGTTAAAAATTATGATAATATCTTGTTGACAAAATATTAATATTGAAAATTTCAGAAACATACACATCAAATCAAAAATATGGGGACAATGAATGTTAATACTTTTTTCTTTCTCATCTACATGTTTTAGAAAAAAAAAAATGTAGAGACAATGAATGTTAACATTTTCTCCTTCGATCTCATTCACATATATTTTTTTTACCGCTTACAAAAGAAAAAAGCAGACTCATTTATAATTTTTACTTCATTGACTAACCCTTAAAGCCCTAATAAACCTATGTATGAATCTATAATGACTAACCCAAAAAAATTGTTTAGTAAATAGGCTAGAAAAAAAAAAAGAAAAATCAAAATAAAACTCAGGAAAATATGGCCTGGACTAAAAACTACTAATAGGCCTAACCTCAAAAGTCAAAACGGATATTTGATCCATTTTATCTATATAACAAACTGATGTATGTTACAAATTTATGGAAAACAATTCTCGATTATATTATTTTCTTGGAAACTCAATTATTATTCTACGGACTATTTAGACTTTCTTTCTTTTTGACAAAAAAGAGGAAAAATAAAGAAAAAAAACATATGTGAAGGAGAATGAGACTCGTCTTTGTAATTCTAACCAAAACCTTTTCGTTGGAAATCTGGTCAAACTCTTCAGTCTCCCTAAAGTATTAAAAACATTAATGGCTTTTTGGCTTGGAAAATAACATCATTCATTCTTTGATAGACACCAACCTTTAACATATCCAAATCTAAACTAAAATAATTAGATATTTGCACTAAAACCAAAATTGATCTACAACTTAGAATAACATTCTAAAACTGCATTGATGACCTCTTTAACATTGTTGATATCTTGAATACATTTTTTTACTTTTTAGTAGGGAGATCTTTTAACTATTAAAATATACTACTAATCATGCATTATTCAAAATTTTTTAATAAATTCTTAACTAATGTCTTTTGATAATTAACGAATCATATGGTATACGAAGGAAATAAATGAGGGGTTTAGGAATATAAAAAGTTGTAAAGTAAGTGCACGTGGAGACATTTGTGGAAATGCATCCAAATTAAGAATAAAAACAATGTACTTAATTCAATCCACATGCTCCTCTTCAATTCAAAACCATACCTTTGGGTCCCCATTTTTCGAAATTATATTTAATCAAATAGTATTCAGTACTAAAATCATAACATGTCATTCACCAATCACAGACTTTGTACAAATTTTCTGACATCATTGTACGATTTTTCATCATTCAAACCGACAAAAATAGTTCAATGTATCTTATTAATACTGGTTCTAGTTGAATGAGCGGAATTAGATTTTCATGAGATTTATACTTTATGATAGAAATATTTATTCGTTTGTTTAGAAGAATGTACGGAAATAGTTACAGTTGTGCTTAAAGAAACAAGCTAAATATTCTAACTCTGAACATGTTCATATCTAAAAATAGTCAAAAGTTGTTTAGATTTTTAAGTGACACTTTGATATATCAGGTTTAATCCCCATTTAGCTCAGTGTGTCTGACCTTGAAATTGGACAGTTTATTGGCATTACCCAAAAATGGACAGTTAATACAATTTAGCAAAATAGTAAATTCTTTTGTAAATACCATAATACATATAATTTTGTATTTCACAATTTCTATCGAAAACGAGATAGTATAGGGGGTAATTTGAATATTAGGTTCTAAATTTAGACGATATTGTATTAATTCGAGTGGTGGATATTTATTTTTTCAATGTAATTATGTGAGTATAGTTTTTCCTATTTCCTGAAATGTCATAGTTAACACGAGTACTTCAATTTGATTAATAGTCAAAACACAAGTTAATGAATTAAGATATAGTATTAGCTATAAACAGATACATTTAGGGGGTGTTATTGGTTTGTGATTTAAATAGAGTTTTGATGACTTTAATAAAATCATAGAAAGTGAATAAGTGAATGATTTTAGAAGAATTGTTAGAGAGTTTTCTATAGTCTTGTTGATTAGTTTTTCTATAATCTTGTAGAATCTCCCAAACAATCTCAATATTTCAACATACTTTCCATGACTTTATTTTGTAAAGAAAAGTGTTTAAAATCATAAACCAATAACACAATAATTGAATTCATTAACAATCATAGATTGTCATAGATTGTTTTGTTTTAGTTGAATAACACAAAACTTTTAATGACTTTATAAAACTCTTAATCCAATAACACAATATTCATTAAGATTTTAAATGACTTTTTACAAATCATAAACTAATAACACCAAACTTTAAAAGAGTTTAACAAAATCTTGATTGAATAACAACATATTCTACACAACAATTAAAGTCATTAAAACTCTATTTAAATCACAAACCAATAACACCCCCTTATATTTTGCAAGTCAAACCATAGTTTTTGGAGTGTAATATAGAAACATTGAACCTGCTGTATTAAAATACAGCAGAAACATTAAATTATAAAGACAAACAAGGAAAAAAAGAACACTTTGTAATTAATTGGAAACTACTAATCCCTTAACTTTCTTGTGAATAATGAGCCGAAAAAGTGCAGTGTGGTATGAAGAAAATGTGATGTCAATTTTCACAAAAGTGTGATTTTTTTTTTTTTTTTTGAATTTAATGTTAAATTATATTCAAGAAAAAAATAAACATGTTTACAACTTAATGCATATTGTTTTTAAAAACACTGACAAGAACAAGTTATCATCCTCAATTTTGTCTTGAAGCAAACCACTCTTCAATGCCTTCTGCATACTTCAAATCTCCTCCACTCATAATCGTGCTGAACGGTTTCTCATGTTCTTGTCTATCATTCTCATTAGCTTCTCGCACAAAAGTGTGATTTATATACGGTGTGGTTCGTATATGGTATGTTTAATCATTTTTGTCATTTTTTTTTTACTACTTAAATTAGGGTGGGTTATGTGCCTTTACAAACAAAGAGTTTAAGTTGAAAAGGTTAAAAAAGATTCTAAACATAGTATCATAGTAGTTAATTTTATCAACTAATTAATCATACAGTTTTTTATTTTATATAAATATGAGTTACTCGAAATGTTTTAGAAAAACTTAGTGGAACTTTTGATTATTTTAGCCGATCAAACTTATAGTTATCATTTAACACTCGTTCTACTCTAATTGTTATATATTTACTGTACTTACTAGATCATCACCCGTACTAAAGTACGGGTTGAATTTTATTTATTACAAAATTTATATAATATATATATTAGAACTAAGTTTTAATATATTATAATAGTAAGTAAAACAATATTAATTTTTTTGTCAATCCCTATATACAATATTAGAATAAATATAGAATTTTTTCGATAATACTCAATTATGGATAATTTTTTTTTTTTAAGATATGAAAACGGATAATAATTTTTTTTTTTTAAAGTAATATTTTTTGAACAATGAGTTAATTTATGTTAACAACCACAAAATAGGACTGCATATATTTCAGTTAGATCAAAAATTAAAATATAATCGCATATAAAACATAGATTATTTTTGAATTAATTAAGAAAATTAGCTATTATTTTGAATTAATTTAGAAAATTCTTTTTCAATTTATAATTCTTTAGTTGTTGAAAATTGAAATAGAGATTTGTTTGAGCTAATTACAGAATTTGTTTGAGATTTATAAGTACGGAATTTACCAATTATTCGCATAATCGAATATGTTATAAACATATATTTAGTATATAATAATACCAAAATCAACCCGTGCGTGGAGTCTATATTTTTATTTTAGAATCTCAATATTTTTTTTGTAGTTTATAAAATTATGAATTTCAAAAAACAAATTATATGAAATTAAATATAACTATTCAAATAGTTAGTTATAAGGATCAAAACTCATTTCATCATATAATATATTATATTTAACCCGCTACCTATTATAAATATTTTTAAAAATAATCAAATTAGAGTATTTATAATTTTTAACTTTTCGAACTATTAAGTATTGATGATATTCTCTAAAAATATCAAGTAAAACTTATTTTAAATTTTGCAAATTAAAATATTTAAATTTTATTTTAGTATATAAAATTATACATTTCAAAAAAAATAAATATATAAAATCGAATATAAATATTCAAATTCTGACCCGTTGCTCAGTCGGAATTTTTGTTGACTTTTATTTTTGTGTAAAGAAATATATTACTCAAGTCTGAATTTTTGACCCGTTTAATTGTTTCCTTTATAGATAGAACAATTTATATGCGTTTTTAAAAATTCAAATCTTGGCATATGCAGAAAAAAAAATTACTTTTTTATTATGTAGATGATATGATGATTTATTTGTTTCATATTAATATAATCATATAAAGATGAGAGGTGAAGTTTAGTGATTAATAACAAATTAATATGGTAAGTTAGATATCAAATCTTATATGTTCATTTTGATTGGTCATTTAAAATAAAAATAATAATAACAGATTTTCGTTTTATAATTTAATTAAATTAATTAAATGCCAAAATTAGTATTTTACTTATTTATCCTTAATAAATTGAATGAAATTTGTTCTAAAAGAAGATTTTTATAATGGCATTCTTAAGTAAATTCTTACAAAAGAGAAGGTTAGTTAAGGGTATCTTATAAAGTGTATTCCCCAAATAATAGTATAGGATATGTTTTACTTAATCTCCACTAATCATATTTATTCAGCTTGATCCGTATTTTTTCTTCATTAATTTGTCTTGTATTTGGCGCTTATGTGACAGAAAAAAATAAAATAAAAAAAATTTGTGTACTGGCCAAGTGTATTTGAATGGTTAATGCACGAAAGAACATTGTCATCGGAATAAAGGATCCCATCCCAACCTTATTTTGTGTATAAGTTAAATTATCAAAAAAATTAGACTATCTAAGTGCATTTTCTAAGATCTGAAAATTCTTTACATCATACATATATTAGTTATAGATAAAATTAAGTGAGGAAAAAGAGGGAATTCTCTTCATGTGAGGATGGTTGAAGGGAAAAGCAAAGGATCTAGCTGGCCAATGAGACATACATATAAGTATATATCTAGGTAAAATTCACGAGTTCAAACGAATTTCGTGAGAGGTGTGAGAATTGATCGATCTGCGAGCGGTAAACTTTGTATTCGATTTTGTGTAATTCTCAGGATAACGGCTACAGATCTTTGTCACGTTACTAATACGAACAAAGTTTTATCTAGTTGTGTTTTTTTTTTTGTTTTTTAACATTAGTTATAAAGTTTTATCTAGTTTGTTGTGTAATTTCTTTTTTTCAAGTGGGTGGTGAAACTAATAATTCCAAAGTCATCACAAGTGCGGCCAAAGAGAATGATCAAAAGGAGAATAATTGATGAGGAGGGTAAAGTAGAGGTAAAGGACAAAGATAGAACAAATGGGTAAAATCAAGGACACAAACACATGCACACATGCATACATACATGACATGCATTCATATTCTCATACAATATACAAGTATATGTGTGGATCATGTGTATAGAGAGAGAGATCGGGCATGTGAAGGCATTAACAGGAGGTGGGGTTTGAGTGTTGATGTCTTCATATTCTTGCAATGGAGCCACATGGTAAAGAGGGAACTCAAGCCCCCTCTCTTTTAGGGTAGGTATGATTCATCCAAATTTAGACCTCTTCCATGTGACTCCATGTGTTTTTTTCTTCCATCACCCATTATTCACTTCTTTTTTTCCTCTTTTTAATCTCAATTGGCTTCCAAGATCTTATGCCAAATATTGTTGATGTTAATTTAAACTAATGGCATTTCATTTTATTGCATTTGTACGCTTCTGGTTTTGATTAACATCTAGTTAATTTCAAACTTTGTCTGAAAAGAGCTATGTAAATTTTTCTTATACATTAGATCGAAATTTGGTTATTGGTCAAGGTTTTTTTGTTCATTAAAGATTTGCAACCGTGTAAAATATGAAGTAACTAGAGAATAAACGTATGTGATTTTTTCTTTCTTTCTCTTTTCCTTTTTTTGTTAAAGAAAACGTATGTAATTAATTCATATCATAGCTTATCTCATAATTTCAATAATTGTTTGTTAATAAAGAAAAAATCTCATGAATCATAGCAGAATTTTACTTGTTACGAGAGTACTTGCCAACATAGATTACCATAAAGTTAAAGCCCTATTGAACTATATTTTCTATATTTCTGTTTTACCCTTTTCATATACTTGTGCAATGCCCACATTAGTCATTTATGTCAAAAGAAATAACTTCATAAAGTGTGATCGATCGTGTCAAATATCACATGAGTTCTACCAATAGCATTACTCCTTTCATATACATTATCAAACCATCTCTCTCTCTCTCTCTCTCTCTCTCTCGTGAGGTTTTGCTCTATATAAGTATCTCCTTTGTAAACTTCTTACGAAGCAAACAAATTTCACATGGAGAGGCAAATTATAAACAAGAGAAAACGAGTCTTTTCTCTCCAACCAAACAAGAACCCTAAGGCGCTCTTCGCAAGAAGATACGTGAGTCACTTGGTTCCAGCTCTCAAGAAGATCAACATGAAAAAATCCTCTTCAAAAACAAACCACCCAAGTTTTGAAAAAACCGTGAAACATGAAGTAGACATGGCTTTCGCCTTGTCTGCTCAAGAATTCGCTTGGAGTCGTTTCTTGCTACAAAAGCTATTATCTTCCGTTCATGATGATCCAGTAAGAACTAGTAGTTCTCCTTCCGAGATTCTAGAAAGATCAAGCAAGAAACAAGGTGGAGGAAAACACCAAGACCGCGACGAAGAAGAAGGAGGAGAGATCAAGAAGAGATTGAAGGAATTGCAGAAGCTTTTGCCAGGTGGAGAAGAGATGAACATGGAGGAGATTTTGAGTGAGATTGGAAGCTACATTGTATGTCTTGAGTTGCAGATGATTGTTCTAAAATCTATTGTACAAGATAATATTTCTTGAAAATAATATAATTCATTTTTTTATTTGTTGTTTGTTGTCTTTTACATCAGAAAAAGAAGAAAGAAAGTTTGCTACGTAGTTCTTAAGAAAATGAACTTATATTACAAATTTACAATGAGGTTTTCTCTTACTCTTAAGATTATTTTTTCTTAGAACAACCAAAAAAAAAAAAAAAACTCTCAAGAAAGAATTATTTTAATGAGGTTTTTAATAAAGTTAAGAGGTTTTTGTTTCTTCTCTTAAATATGATAAGGATACAATCACAAAGCAAAATCTATGAATTTAAATGGGTTATATTGACGTCAAAAGAAATTGGCAGAAAAAATTTTTACGAGAAAATTTTACAAGGTATTTTAAAGGTTTTACAAGTTTTTACAAAATCAAATTTGTAATTTTGATGTGTGCACATTCTCATGTTTTTCTTATATATTTGTGATATCTTTTACTAAAAGAAGGGTAATTTAGTCATTTTGTCATAAAAAGGGGTATTTTTAAAAATGGACAGCCAAAGGGGGCATTTTTGAAAAGGGTTATTGAAAAATTGGCATTTTTGTGAGTCTCCCAAATTTTAATCGATGTGTAACGTTGAACAAACATTTTCGTCAATTGGTTAATATATGTCCGTTTTTAAAATTTTGAATCACAGTATATGCAGAAATTTTTTTTATTTTTTTTTTTACTTTATGTATTATATGATGATTCAAAACAGTTAAAAACAAATCAAACAAAGATGATAGGAGAATCATAATTCTAAATCTTAATCAAATCTTCTAAATATCTAAATTATTAAATATGGAATATCCAGAATATGAGTTGGGTTAAATATAACCCGACCCAACAAATTTTTTATGACTAAAATTTGTAAACGGAACGGATATCCAAATTATCTGAGAACAATATTACCGACCCGATTTAAAAATGACTGCAAAAATACTAGTATAGATAAATAAAAGAGTGGCTGGCCATTTATTTTTTCTTGCTTTGTAACCTTGTTATATTTAGGACCGGCTCTTATTAAAACACATTAATATTATAAGATTTATTTACCTAGTTTTTATTTATTTAAGGTTTCATTTAGAAATTGAATTGTTAATTTTTAGATTAAATATTATCTTCAAGCTGAAATTGATCAAACAAAAGAGAAACAAAAGAGTGATAAGATCACATAAGGCCATTAAAAAGGGTGGTGGTAGCCAAAGTGCCAAACACGGCAAAGACCTTGTTTCTTCAAAGGCAAATTTGCAAAGCTCATATCGAGTACAAGTTTTAGAACAATGACTAACAATAACAGAAGAAAAAAAAAAGAGTTTTGGAAGAGTTATGGCAATACACAAGAGTTCTCTTCCCTCTACTGTAATGACTTTAAAAGAGAGATTTGTGATGACAAAACAAAAGAAGAGTAATGATGGGGTCGGTAAATGTTTGTGTTGTTGTGCAACTGCAACTACACAGTGTAGTGATGTCCTGCTGTATCAATGTCCAATCCCTTTAGCTTTGCGACTGATTCCACATGTCCCTTCAATGTGTGAAGCTCCCTAAGCCTGTCACAACATAGTAATAAAGCATTTACCAATCAGAATCTCTATCAATGGCATCTTTCGGTTGAGATCGATTTAATCACACTACTTACCTAGCTATCTCAGCCCTTCTCTTGGCTTGCTCTGCGATCTCAGACAGCTCTCTGTAACTTCCTTTCTCTGGGAAGATGTTAACATCTTCTTTTGGCTGCAGACCGTGCAATGTCCTTTGAGCTTGTGCCCATTGAGCTTCTCTTTCTCCAATACCGTAATCTTTCTTGGTCGTGAAAGCAGTCTGTTAACATAACAGAAGATATGATTAGTATGTTACCATCAGCCTGTAGAAGAGGTCTCTATAGTGGTAGATAGATGGAGTTAGTTGTATGTACCCTGTTGTCAAACAAGCTGGTCCAAGCCTTTCCACTCAAGATATATCGAATGGCAAACTTCAAAATGTCCTGTGGGAAGTATGTTACGATACTGTAAATCCAAATCACACCTGCCCATCCCCAACCGATACCCTTCACCTTTGCAAATGTCCAGTCGGCATAGACAGCAATCATTGTCGCAACCTGCATTCAGGAGGAAGAGTGAATGAATTCATTGGGTTTCTTTAACCTAATTGAGGTTCAGAAAATATTTGTACTTGATGTTCTTACCAGTTGTGCAACGACGAATGCAACCATCAGAAGTGCCCCAGGACGTTCGACAAATGACCAACTCCTTGACCTGGTGACAAAGATTAGAGCTTGACTGATGATACTAACTTGTAGATACACAGCACCCATTAGTTCATCGTTATTGTCCCTGATTGACCTCACACCAAACTTGTCCTGCAAATCAAAGGTGAGATAATTTTTTAGGACTCAGAGCAAAAGGCCTGGCCATATATCTATATAATCCCTGAAGCACCTGTACCAAAAATGCAAAAGATGATGAACTAATGGGTGCTAAAAACTGATGTATAGCACCCATTAGATAGATATATTTATATACATATATTTATAAACTGATGATGTACCGAGAAAAAGTCAGTCTTGTGAGCAGCCCAGAAGAATATAACACTCATAATGGCTTGATAGCCTCCCAGCACAATTCCAGTGGCGAAAATTTCTTTGAGCTTCCAGCTATCAGGTGTGGGAGATGGCTTGACTCTGTCCTTTGAGATTGTCATGATAGTACCTAAGAGATAGTCACAACATAATACCATAAGATATAGCTGCTAAAGTGTGAGGAAGCTGTCTAGAAAAGTAGGATGTTATTTGCTCACCATCATTAAGGATGGCAATAATCAGAACCATGAACGCCGAGAAGTCAAATTCCCATATCAGAGCAATAAGCATGAAACCAAACTGCAAGAGTTACAACGCAATATGATCAGTACACATAAAGCAAAATCATGCAAAACAAGTGATAGATTTTTAAACGGGGTTTCTACATACCACAATACGGATTGTGATTGAGACTGCATAAATCTGTCACAAGCAAGAAAATAGAATTATTAGTTTCCACCGCAAACGAACACAACTGGTGGGCATAATTTAAGAATACGATTAAAGAATACGCACGGTGTAGTTCTTCATTCTCTGGAAGATAGCTCTGCTAGTGAGAACGGCACTGATGATGACACTTAGCCCAGGTTCCGTGAGAACGATATCGGAAGCACCACGAGCAGCATCTGTAGCATCGGCCACAGCAATACCGATATCTGCTTTCTTCAAAGCGGGTGCATCATTAACACCATCACCGGTCATACCAACAATGTGCTTCCTCTCCTGCAGCTTTTTCACAATTTCATATTTGTGCTCTGCAATCAGAAAACATAAGAAGCTTGGATCAATAAAACAAACCTTTGTAATGAACATATGATGAGGTTTAAAACTGAAAGCAAGTTATGACCTGGAAAGACGCCGGCAAACCCATCAGCCTTTTCGATCAACTCCTCAACAGGGATGGATGCAATGTTGGCGTCCTTGTCGGTACCGAGAAGAGCCGCAGATGGATACATATTGGTTCCCATTCCAAGCCTGCGACCGGTTTCCTTACCAATAGCAAGTTGATCACCTGCCAACGCAGTTAGAGCGCAAGTTAGGGGAAAACATCTAAATAACCATGAATTTCATGAAAAAAATGATGAATAAGTGTAGTTACCAGTGATCATCTTAACATTAACACCGAGATTCAACGCCCTACGAATGGTTTCGGCACTGTCGTGTCTTGGAGGGTCAAAAAGAGGCAACAAGCCAACAAATTCCCATGGCCCACCTGGGCTTTCTTTTGTTTTCTCGGGGACCACCTAAAAAGGACTAGGCAATTAAACGGTTGTTTCCAGGCCAAAAATAAAAGCCAAATAAGACCGCTGGTAAATAAGTACCTGTCGAGCTACTGCCAATGACCTAAGACCGCGCTCAGCGTACTTGTCAATACAAGAGAGTACCTTCTTCCTAAGGTCAGGCCTGGCATTGGCAAGGTCAAGGATCTGTGTGGGAGAAACGAATTAGTAGACCGAATTAAGGAAAAAAACTAACATCTGTAGGTGAAAGCTGAAGATTCATCACCTGCTCGGGAGCACCTTTGCTGACTCTGTGCCAGTTACCATCAGAGTCGATGTAAGTCAAAGCAGTTCTCTTGTCCACCGGGTTGAATGGAAGGAAGTGAACCTCCCTGATTCCAGCTCGGGCCTACGAAAATCCAAGTGAAACATATGAACTTGTTTTCTGGAATTTTCACTTAATTACAGAAGTAATTCAAAATGAATAGGGTTATACCTCTTTCGGATCAGCAAGCATTCCAACCATGGCTGCATCAATAGCGTCCTGGTTCTCCACCCTAGAAGCCATAGCTGCAAATAGTAGAACTTGATCTTTCTCCACACCCTTGCAGAAAACCTCAACCAAGTTTTTATCCACACTCAATTTATTGAGGGTTAGTGTCCCGGTTTTGTCACTGCACAGGACATCCATTCCCGCCATTTCTTCAATGGCTGTCATACGTTTGGTGATGGCACCTTGCTGAGACAACCTGTGAGACCCGATAGCCATAGTCACAGACAAGACCGTGGGCATAGCAATGGGGATACCACCGATCAAGAGGACCAAGAGATTGTCAATTCCATCTCTGTACTTTCGGTGTTGGATAGGGTACATGACGATTATTTCAATCACTATACCAATAGCAATAGAACAGATACAGAAGTTTCCAATGGATGTAAGAACTTTCTGGAAGTGCCCAACTTGGTTAGTGCTGTCCACAAGGTGAGCAGCTTTACCGAAGAAAGTGTGAACTCCTGTGGCTATAACAACCGCTTCGATTTCTCCTTGTTTACAAGTTGAACCAGAGAAAACTTCTTGACCAGGGTGCTTGGTCACAGGAAGGGACTCTCCAGTTAGAGCAGACTGATCAACCTTTAAAGGATCTCCTTCAAGAAGACGGGCATCGGCTGGGATAATGTCTCCAAGTTTAATGCTAACAATATCACCTGGGACAAGGATAGCAGCTTCTTGTTCACTCCATTTTCCATCCCTAAGAACCTGACAAAACAGAGAAACGGGTTAAGCTCTCGAGAAGTCTTGAA